CTCGTGGGCACTGGGGAATTCTAGCAAACTGCCACCAGTGGGAACCCCTCCCAAATCTGGACCGAGGTCACGTCCATGCGGAGAAGCTGATGCGTAACACTGCAGCAAAGTAACTCTGTGTGGACGCTCTTCTCCAAAAGAAAAGAGATTTTATTCCAATTAGACCGACTTTATTCCGCTCACACGGGGGAGTTCTAGGAACAAGTATTCTGCTAGAGCGATTCCAGTAGAACTTCCCATGTAGAAAAGGCTTTAATAATCAAGGATAAAAAGCACTGACTAGAGCCAGGAATCCTGACCTACAATCCCCCTTCAATTCCAGCCCTGGGCACTCCCCGTCCCACAGCTCTGCCAGTGCCCCTCAATTCCAACCCACAGCCCCCTGCTATCCCCATCCCCAGCTCTGCCAAAGTACCTCCTTCCTGACTTACAGTCTCATCCTCTGCAGCCCCTCCCCACAGTTCAGCCTGCCCCTCAGCCCTCTCCTGCAGGACCCCTGTAATTGCCAGGCCTGGCTTCTCCTGAGCACAGGTTTCCATTCACGCCTCATCCCTTGCTGTGGTTCTGTGACGTGTCTGTTCTGTGGGGATAGGTGGTTGCTCATCCCCTGCCCTGGAGGGCCAGAGCTTTGCTTTTTGGCTGGTCCCTACCGTTTGACCTGTCCAGCTTGGGTAGCCCTCTGAGAAATGACAACTCCTGCTGCACCGCTCACAAGGTGACTGCCAAGGGGCAGTCCCCAGGAAGGGACTTAACACCACAGAGGACGCACAGAGAGCTGCCCAGGATAGACAGGGATGGCAGAGCTTTGTCCTAAGTGATGTCCGATGGCATGAGAAGGATTCAGAAACTCGCCCGCTGGTAACCTCAGTCCGGTTGCAGTCCAGGTCTCTGGGGGTGAAAGGCTAATGCATTAGGCTGAAACAGCCACAGGCTTGACCCACACTGCAAAATCTCTCTCTGTCCAACCAAAGACCTGTCTGGTTCTAGTCCATGGGAACTTGCATGGGGCTGCAGGGCCATCCCAGCTCTCTGCAAAGCACAGCCCAGACAAGCCCTTTTTCACCTTGCTAATGCATTTTCACCTTGCTAATGCAGCTACAGCTGTCAGGAGCTGCCGGAGAGCCATGGGATGGGAGGCAATTCATGTAGGGTGACCAGACAGCAAATGTGAAAAATCAGGACGGGGGTGGGGGGTAATAGGAGCCTATATAAGAAAAAGACCCAAAAATCAGGACTGTCCCTATAAAATCGGGACATCTGGTCACCCTAATGCAACGCACATACCAGCAACCACTCTCGTGAATAAACTTTGATCTAACCAGCATGCAGGCCCCTGCAATGCTGAGGGTTATGTTTTACCCCACAACTCACCGTTACAGAGAAGCGTTTAGAGAGGGCTGTGAAAGTTCACAAGCAGATTTAGAAGGATTGGGACCTAGATAAATGCCAGGCCCCAATTCCTGCATGCCTAGCAAAAACCACCCCCATGCTCAGATCTGAGTGCTAGTCACTGGCATGGGGGAGTCCACGGGAAGGAGGAAGAGAGATTGGGACATCAGCAATGTTTCACAAGAGACAGAGTTCCCATGTTCCTTGCAGAGCTAGGCTTAGGGTCCTGGCGGGGCGGATGGGACTAAGACATGCTGTTCTAATAATGCTACTTTGCTCTTCTCGTCACCTGTCAGTCCAGGATCTTAAACCGCTTCACATGCATTCAGTCAGCCTCACAATGTCCCCACCTTCCATATGGGGAAACAGAGGCAGACTTGCCCATGGCCGCCCAGCCAGGGAGTATCAGAACCCAGAAATCCTGACTCCCAGGCCCCTGTTGTAACCGGATTGTTCCCTTCGGTTTGTGCTTGTCCCATAACTGGATGGGGAGGGGGGAGATGAAGCCACTAAATTGAACAACAAATTGAAGCAGCATATAAACAACTTGCAGAATTCCTTGCTGCAGGAGGGCAGAGAGTCAAATCCGAGACTAGATTTAAAACAAGGATGGACCCCAAATATCAAAGACACATGGCCATGCAACTGAAGGACACAAACTGACGGCTGCAGAGGTCAGGAAGGAACAGTGTGCAGCACTGCACAGGGGGCTGAGTGCATTACACCCACACACACTCACTGGACTATCAGGAATTGGCTGCTGCCAAAGGCAGGATCGCGGATTCGCTGGACCAATTATGCAATCTGGCAAACGACAGTTTCCAAAACATCTACATTCTAGGCTGTGCCAGGAGCGGGCCAAGCACTAAATCTCTGGGTTAGAATTTAACCCCTTCCCCCCAGGTCTGTCTCCCAACAATCCCAAAAGTCAAGGCACTGAATCAAATCACAAATCAAAAGGCGAGGGAAGTGACGTGTCAGAACCTCACTGCTCTTGCCCGGGGGTTCCCCTGGCCAACGCCCGTCCATTTTAAATTGACATTGTGAACCATCCAGTCTCTCCTTTTTGAAAGCAGAGAGAGATCTGCTTCCGTTTGCAAGGCCCAGGCCCAGCTAGTCAGACAGCCGAGATAACGGTCGTGTTGCAAGAACACAGGAGTGAAAAGTTACGGTGCAGACATAGCTCAGGGCAGACACGTGGCTGGGTGGGCGTGCAGTGGGGTCCCCTCAGAGATGCCTTGATGTCAGCTGGGTTTTCTCTTACTCTCACACACCCGCCCACAGAACAACTTCTCCAGGAGGCCAGATATTTCCTCCCCAAGGGCGAGAGGCCAAGAAGCATCACCCACCAGCTTCAGAGAGGGAGCGGAAGGTCTTGGTGACCTTCTCTCTGGACACAGGACCATCACGCTTGGATAGAAATGGGGGCCGGCCGGCCAGTCCCGTGTGCTGGCCCCACCGCTCCAGTGACTTGGACACCATGGGGCCCCCGCCTTGAGCCCCTCCCTGCTCCAATGGGCAATTCCAGAAAGTTGTCTTACAGGCCAGCCAGAGGGGGAAGGTGACAGGGTCCCCCTGGGTGCACTGCAGCCTCAGACCTCCTCTGGCAGTTAAACAATAGAGGCTGTCACTGTACATTGCTCCCCCCCAGAGACCCACTGGGGCTGCTGGGAACGGAGGGGGGCGGGCGGTCCTGGGGGGCAGGGACTTACCAGCACATGGGTGAATCTTTCCTCCAGCTCCCCAGCGCTGGGCATGGGCTGCTTCGGGGGCGCGGGCTGCTTGGCCGGCAGAGCTGTGGCTGGTGGCTGGGTCTTGGTCTCCTTGGCCGGAGCCTGGTCCACGCTGCCGGCCGCGTTGCCCATCCTGCGGCTCCTGCCCAGCCCAGAAAGCTGCTTCCAGGCTCCCAAATCCAGATTGGAAAAGAGGAAGGGGCCAGAAAGGAGGAAACTTTCCTCCCAAAGTGCGAGGGGCAGGCGAGAGCGGGGGCCAGCTCAGAGCCCCCCGCCTGCACCCGGGGGAGCCGTCCCAGGAACTCTCCGCGCTCAGCAGCGGGTGCGAGGCGCGGCTGCTCCCCGGCGGGGCTCCATCTCCACGCGGCTCCGAGGGGCGAGCCGGCGTCCCGTCGGCCCGGGCAGCCCCTGGCTCGGCTCGGCTCGGCTCGGCGATTGCAGCAGGCGCGGGCTGGAGCTGGGGCTGGGGCTGGGGGAGGAAGTCAGGGTGCAGCTGCAGCGGCTGCGGTTCCGCGGTGCGCGCTGTGCAGGAAGCGAAGCTGCACCCGGGGCTGGTGTTTTTCTATCTCGGCTATTTGTAACTTCGGGCGCAGCCCCCCGCCCCCAATGGCCCCTCTCCGCCCGCCCCGCACCGGGGGACTAGGGAGCGCGGGGCGGCAGCGGAGCGCCCGGCGCTGCCCGGCCCCCGAAGGCAGGGGCCATGGCCGGGGAGAGGCAGGGCCCAGGCACCTGCTGGAAAGGAGCTCTCGGAGGAGAGCAGCAGAGGACCGGCAGTCAGGGGGCTTCAGGGTCCCAAAGCCCACAGCTTCCAGCCCAGGATTAGCTCGCGGAACCGAGGGGCGAAGGCCAAGTGGGATTCAGCGGCTCGCCTGGAGTCCCGCCGGCCCCTGGAGCAGGGGGAGGAACTAGGTCAAACGGCTGCTTATTCCCGAGGAGCGTGGCCTGGTTCTGCACTTTCAGCAGCTCCCGAGAGCACCCAACAGCCCCTTGTTCAGCGAGCGGAGACCAAACAAGCTCGTGCCACCCCCGAGCAGCCCCCGGTGATGGGGATGGAGTGGGGTGCTCCCCTGGGCTTAGGGCCTCGGCCTGGGGCACTGCTCTGGGCAGGAGGAGCTAATGCAAGGGGCTAATTCCAGGTGCGCCAGTTGATCACAAACAGCAAGAAGTAGTTGGGAATTGCAGCCTGGGTCCGAGAGCGAGGCCCTGCTTCTGCTCCCGGCCTAGGGTGCCCTGAGACCGTCGCTCATTTTCACCTTCGCTTCCCACTGGCAAACTTTCCTTCGCAGCCGGAATGTCTCCCGGAAAAGGAGGGAAGAAAACGACCAGTCGGTGAGGCCGGTCTCTGGCACGAGAGACATTTCCACGTTGGGTAGCCAGGCTCCAGGGGCGCTGGCTCTCAGTGACCCCACAGACAGCGTCTCAAATGCAGCCTCCAGAAAATGAAGCCCACACAGTGTCTACCTGCTGACCCTGTGGCTTAAGTGACTTGCCTGGCATCACCTGCCTTAACCAAACCATTATCCTGTCTCTGCCTGCAGGCCCCGCCTTGTTCTCCACCCACCTTCAACTTCTCCAGCTGCAAAGAGCTGTGACCAGTGCGCTTTCCTGGACAAACCTTCTTGAATTACGTGTCTGTAGCATTGTGGGCTGGGGATTGTAGGTCATTTCATGGGGGAGGGGGACCGCAGCCCTCTAGAAACTAAGATGTGTGTGTAAGGTAGGTGGTGGTGGGGGTAGGCCCAGTCACTCAGGAGAGGTGTCACACCCTGGAGAGACTCTCGCATCTACTGGGTCAGACTGGATTCTCCAGAGACTAGGGAGCTCCATGAAGCTGTTACACCATATCTACAGAGTCACTGGGGTAAATGTAATGTGAGTATGACACTCGTTTAATCTCTAAAAGAGGAAATAAATCACACTAAAGCAGAGGTTTCCAAACATCCAGGGGGTGAGCGGTGACACCAGGCAGCTCAGGCTTTAGCGGGATGGGGGCCCACTCCTTAGCTTCCGCCCCTGGACTTCAGTGAGTCTAATGCTGGCCCTGCCAGAGACCAGCCGACAAAGAAAGGACTGTGGGATAAATGGCCGTGTTCCCGATCCAGCAAACAGACAGGACCTTCTGTGCTGGGGGCCCCCAATCCTTCCTTGGACAGGCTGGAAGGACTTTGGCCTACGAGGCCCCACAAGACTGATGGGTGCTTGTTCTGAGCTGGGGCTGTTATGAACTTGTAACCCCAGAAAACCCCCTTGCTGGGGTCTGAAGGACTGACTCCTGCCAGAGCCTGTGGGTGGGGTGATCCTGGTGAGCTTACTAGCATGCGTGCAGGTTCTTTTATTGTTTTGAATCTGTTTTCTCTGTAATCTCTTACTTTAAGAATAAATGGGCTTGCTTAGAATAACTGGGGCAACTCCACCATTTACTGTCGCTGAGGAGAAAAGTAAAAGCAGCCCAGCCATGTAGGCAGGGAGTTAGGCAGTCTGGAAATACCCCAGTCGGGAGGGAGAGACGCGGGTCTTTGCCCAAGAGGGCTGGTGGCTGAGGATTTTACAGTGGGTGCCATGGCTGGCCCATGAGGGGGAATATGGGTGCAGTGCCCTGAACTGTAAAAAGAGTCTTGTTCACTCCTCCCCGAGCACTGTCCCTCCCGTGCCCTGAACGGGGGAGGATCCTGTGCAAAACATAGAAAGATTGCAGCACAGCGTCAGCTTCAGGACGGCTGGTCCAGTGGTTATGGTGCTAACCTGGGCTCAGGAGATGGGCGGTCCAGGGAACCTTGAGCAAGTCCTTGTCTCTCTGTTCCCCACCTGTGAGGTGGTGCTGCTTGGGAAGTACCATCTCCCAAGGGTGCTGAAAGGATGAATGTGTTGGACTGGGAGGGGCCAGAGAGGTACCTAAGGGTTAGGGTAAGGGGCACCCTAAATCCTGGCATTTCCTGACATTTGAGCACTTGACGTTGCCATTTAAAGAACATTCTTTTAGTTAAGTATTTTTGTATTTAATCCTGTAGGTTTTCTTTTAAAAAAGACAAATGTAAAAGCAAATGGGGTTACATGCAACCCCCGCATCATACAGCAGCAGGGTTTGAACCCGAACATTCAGCACTGCCCAAGCTACCAACAGGAAATAGCTGGTACCTTGGGGATGGGTTGCTGGGGCCATGGGCTAGCTTTGGGGGTAACCGAGCATCTCTTTTTCTCTCTCCTTCCCTCCCTCAACTTGGGGGAGCGCCTGCTCCATGTGGTGCCCCCGGAGGGGAATGGGACATTGAAGTCAAGGGGCCCCCTGGCTCAGGTATCTTCCCCGCCCATGGAGAGGCTGCTGCTCCCGTGTCGTGCGTGCTGGCTCAGGAATGTTCATGTGCACTTGTCGTTTGGGCTGCTGCCAACATTGTGCTGAAAATGCCAGTGCTGGAAGGGGGGTGATGTATCTCAGCAAACCCAGAGCAGAGTTTTAGGGGAGAAAGAAAAGGCACTTTTCAGACCCCCAGGCTTTCACCCTCTTGGATTTCAAAGGTTGGCTGCAAACCGCACAGCGATGAGAGCGTTGCAGGAATCTCTTATCATGGCTCCCAGCTCCCGTGTAATTACAGACGTACTTGGAGGCACCAGCAGAGATCGGGTTCCCATTGTGCCGGGCGCGATACAAACACCCAGAGAGACAGTCCCTGCCCCAAAGAGCTTACAGTCCAAACAGACCAGACAAAGCGTGGGAAGGGAAGTGACTTGCCCAAGGTCACCCAGCACAGTTAGGTCTCCTGTAGCCCAGTCTCGTGCCCGACACTCCAGGGCAGGCGCTAGCTAATGGAGCAATTCCTTTCACTCCAGTGCTAGAGGCCTGTGCTTTGAAGCTGAAGGTCCAGCTAGGTCTTTTCTGGCTGATGGAGCATGGGGGGCGGGGGACACAATACTCCATCCAGGCCCGCTGCTTTGCCCCAGAGGCGGCGTGGCCTGCTGGGCAGTACAGTCTCCCTGGGGGGGCCGGCTAGGGCAGCTTCAGGTTTGAGCCCCCAGGCTGCTGAGCAGAGGTCAGGGGTGTGTGAGCGAAGGGAAGTTCCCTCCAGCCGAGCCCAGAGGGTGAGAAGCCAGGAAGACCATTTCTTGCAGCCTCTCAGCGCTCATGGCCGATCCAACTTTCCATCTCACGCGGCTTCTCCGCGCGCGGCCCGTCTACCATGCCGTGTGGCCAGAGATGGTTTCTGAACCTGGCCGCGATCCCAAGTGGAGGAGCAGTGCAATGTTTTATTTCATCCCCCGACCCCCGCCATTTACAGGCTATTAGCCGCCTTCCCTTAACTGACATTTCCAGGCAGTGCAGTGCAGTCTGGCGCCTGGGAGCACCCAGAACCTCGGCAGGAGGGGAGCAGGGGAAATGGAGCCTCAGATGCAGGGAGGGAGTGTCTGTCTGCTAGTGCTTCGAGCAGGGGCCTGGAGGCAGGACTCCTGGGTTCTATTCCTGGCTTCCCCGCCATTGTGCTGTGAGACTGAGCAAGTCATTTCCCCTGGGTGCGCCGAGGTGTCTCCATTTGTAAGTGCAGGCTGATGGTGACTCCCCCTGCCCCAGGGAGGGTGAATGGGTGTTTGCAAAGAGTTCCGCGAACCCAGTCGGAAAATCACTTCTAGAAACACAAGTTATTCTAGCGGCAGGCTGCAGATGTGCGTGGCGTGGCAGCCAGGGGATGGGAACAGGCTAACCCGGCCTCTAGCAGGGGTCACGACCCCAAGAGGAGCACAAACAGGTGTCAGGGGCTTGCAACCTATGTTCCTTGTAAGCTGCGCGGCCGTGCAAGCAGGGGGGGGGAGAGGCGCCCCTCCCCCAGCCC